CGGCTCTGGAGGTGTGCGGGGTGATCCACCGCACAGGGCCCCCTAAAATTAGGGGCCCCAAAAAATTTTTAATTATATTTATATATAGGGAGAAATGAATCTAAGACCAACGTGGACCGTCCATTTCACAACCTTCAGCTTAATCTCAACCCTCCATTCAAAAACCTCTCCTTCAAAAGGATCTCTACCCATCTTCACATCTCAAACTAGATCTGCCCAGTCCCCTCCTCCTGTCCTCCGCCCTCGACATCCCCTCGCTCAACTCAGCGTCACGTCGGCTCATCACCCTCGCGGGTTGCGGCCTTGCCCTCGCCATCACCTCCCCCTCCTCCTCTCCGATTCCACCGCCCGAGGCCTCGAAATTGTCAACTTCGGAGCTTTCTGCCCTCGCTCAGATTCGTCGTCCCGTCGAGCTTAGCAGTCAGCAGTCAGTCCACTTCGCCGCTGTCGAGCTCGCTAGCAATTCCTCGCCTCCTCGGATGTAAATTTTGGTCTATTTTTGGGATTAGTTAGGGTTTTTGTTGATTGAGGAGCTCTTGATTTGATGCTTTTGTTTGATTTTTATTGTTGTTGTACTTGTAAAGGCTTTGGATAAGATTCGTTACGAGAGCTTGACGGATAAGAGCAAGCTCGATGCTCAGCCAGAGCTGTTCATCAGGTTGTATTGTTCCGAATCTTTTGACTTCTTTCAATTTGATATTTTGATTGTAATATTTTTTTTTTATATTAGAAATACCTCCAAGAAAATATCTTTCTGGATATGATAAATGTAAGAAAAAAAGAAAAATTAAACAATTTATCCAAACTCAAAGTGGAGCGCTTGATAAATTCATTGTTACATAAGATTAGTTAAAAATTCAATTGAAAATGATAACATTAATGATTTGGGCCTGAATAAGTATGAGAATGAAAATGTTGATGATCAAAGTAAAAATAAAAATGATAATGAAAATGAGAATCATAATGAAAATAAAAATGATAATGAAAATGAGAATCAGAATGAAAATGAAAATAAAAATGAAAGTAAAAATGAGAATGAGAATCAGAATGAAATTGATATTGACAATGAAAATAAAAATAAGAACGAAAATATTTTAGGCAATGAACAACCTAATTAGTCTATGCTCATGAATTTGAATATTTATGATCCAAGAATTTGGGATAATTTGGACACAAAATCTAGAGATATATTAGTGGAAAATGGCCCTATAAGAGATCTAGTAGTCGAAAAAGGTCCTAAAGATAAATTAGGAAGATGTTTTTCTTCGGCATTTTACACTAGACATTTATCAAATAAAGAGAAATACGATAGGGAATGGTTAGTTTAGTCAAAGGATATCGATAAAGTTTTCTGTATTTGTTGTAAATTGTTTAAAAATGGTTTTAAGAAAAGTTTTTTTTTTAAAATGAAGGATTTAATGATTGGATACATCTTAGTGCTAGGCTTAAAGAACATGAAACAACTAATGAGCACATCATTAACATGAGTACTTGGCTTGATTTATGCATAAGATTAAAGAAAAACAAAACAATCGATAAAAATATTCAAGAGCAAATTAATAGAAGGAATATTGGAAGAAAGTATTACAAAGAATAATTTCTATTGTTAAATATCTTGCTAAACATAACTTGGCATTTCAAGGAACAAATGAGAGAATTTATCAAAATAATAATGGAAAATTGTTAGACCTAATTGAAATGATTGCAGAATAGGATCCAGTAATGCAAGAACATGTTTGACGTATTGACCATGGTGAAATTCATTATCATTATCTTGGTCATAGCATTCAAAATGAATTTATAAGTATGTTAGCTTCTAAAATCAAATGTGCAATAGTTCAAAAAATTAAAGAAGCTAAATATTTTTCAGTGATACTTGATTTTACTCCGGATGCAAGTCACCAAGAACAAATAACTTTAATATTACGATGTCTCGATATTTCTACAAGCCCGATACAAATAGAAGAGTTTTTGTAGAATTTTTAAAAGTAAATGATACATCTAGACAAGGACTTTTTAAAGAATTGCAAATGTGCTAAAAACTCTTAATTTTGATATTGATAATGTACGAGGTCAAGGGTATGATAATGGGTCTAATATGAAAGGGAGACACCAAGGTGTACAAAAAATATTACTTGATATAAATCCTAGAGCATTATACACGCCTTGTGGTTGTCATAGTCTTAATTTAACACTTTGTGGATTGACAAATTGTTATGATAAAGCAAAAGACTTTTTTAGAGTGATACAACGTATTTATACATTATTTTCTCACTCAACAAAGCGATGAAATTTTTTGATAAATAATGTAAATGGTTTAACTGTGAAGCCATTGTCGGCTACACGTTGGGAAAGCTATATTGAAAGCGTTAAAGCAATTAGATTCCAAACGCTTGAAATAAGAGAAGCACTAATTCAGTTAGCAGAAACTGATAATGACTCCAAAATAAGGAGTGAAGCAGATTCTTTAGTAACACATGGAATTGGAAATTTTGAATTTTTATTAAGTATGATTATTTGGTATGATATATTGTTTGTTGTTAACTTAATTAGCAATTTTTTACAATCTAAAGACATGCTTATTAATATTTCTATAGATCAAGTAAAAGGATTGATTAGGTTTTTTAGGATTATAGAGAAGTTGGGCTCACACAAGCTATGACAATTGCTAAAGAAATTACTACTGAAATGGAAATTGATTATGTATTTCAAGTAAAACGTCAAATCCGTAGAAAAAGATAATTTGATGAGAATGTTAATGAGGAGACAACACAATCAGCTGAAGAATCTTTTAGAATCAATTATTTTTTGTATATTGTAGATCAAGCTATTGGTTCACTAAAGAAAATGTTTGAGCAATATAAAGCATATGAAGATATTTTTGGATTTTTGTTTGGTTCAGAAAAGTTAAACTCATTAGATGATAATAATTTGAAAGCAGGTTGTGATAATCTTAAAATTGTTCTAAAATAAAAAACATTTTCTGATCTTGATTTGAAATATTTATTTGGAGAACTAAAAACCTTACAAAATATTTTACCAAAAGAAACAAAGATGGCTATTGATAAACTGAATTTCTTAAAAATATGAAATTGTTTTCCAAATGCATGTATTGCTTATAGAATATTATTGACTATACATGTCACAGTCGCATCTGCAGAAAGAAGTTTTTCAAAATTAAAAATATTAAAATCTTATCTGAGATCGACCATGTCACAAGAAAGACTAAGCGGACTAGCTTTGATATCCATTGAAAATGATTTTATAGATAAAATTGATGTTAAAGACTTAATTAGTGATTTTGTAGCTAAAAATGCAAGGAGGACAATTTTTCGATGATACTTTTTGATGCTAAAGGCTTCAATATTTGATAAAGGTAAGCACAGATACAAGAGGAACATAACATGCAAGTATTTCTTATTGTGGACTATTTGCTCTATTGTAAAGCTTTATTAAGGTGAGATTACATGCATTTATCTGATTAATAATATTTTATTCAAGTGACCGAAGAGATGAAGAATGTGCAATAGCACTTGAAAAGTATGTTAAAGATTATCTAGATGCAAAAAAATCAGGTAGCATTTTAATGTCTGATCACTAACATTTTGTTCCCTAGCATTTTAGGGATTCAAATTGGAATTTATTGATATTTTGTATATAGAGAAGTGTCATATGTTTACTTTTCGCACAGGGCCCCTAAAATCTCAGAACCGGCCCTAAGGCAGATGAATGAGATGGGGAGAGAAAGAGAGAGTTGAGATCTTTTTTTTCTACATATATTTGAATATTAAGGGCAAATATGTATGTAAGGAATTTGAGGGTGCATATGTAAAAAATCTTTAATTTTTTCCGCTCAAGTCAAAATTCCTGTTATTAGAGTAGGTCTTATTGATAAAGTGCGTTAATTTTTAATTTTTTTGGTTGCCCACATTAATTTTTTATATTTAATTTAAAAGTAAATATCACTGTATGAGCTAATTTGATATTCAAGTCGGCCAAGAAGTAAAGTTCTTTTTCTTCTTTTCCTAATTGGATTCAGCGTTATCCTCAGTACTCTAATCGTCGTACAATCACCTATGATAAAATGTCCTTCATTCCATGACATCTTACATCAGGTACGATCACTTTCTTGTTCGTCAAGGAAAATAAAAAGAATGAGATTTTTGCATTCAAATCCTTGTCCTACGTGTATTTATGGCCCAATTTTCTATTTGATTGAGGAAAAAAAAATCACTTGCTTTGCTTTCAATTTCTCTTCATCTGTGGAAATTTTCTCTCATTAAATTGCAATGAAACAAAACTAAAAAGGAAAAGAAAGTCAAATACAGTTAGGATAATCATTCTTATAATGATCATTGTGATCGTAAAACCTACTGTTTTCTTAAGTACATATGTACGGAAACATTGATAAAGAAATCTCAGTGAATTCATATAACGTTATTACTTAGATATTAATTCATAACATCTGTGATTAATGAACTTCCTGAATATCTATATAGTGAAATAATTTATTCATAAATTAGAAATAGATCCACTTCTTTTAGTATAATAACCTTTGTAATTTAATCTCATGGATATTTTATATATCGACAAATCTATTGGTTTCTATTTATTTTTAAACCACGTTTATTATTATTTATCATGTTTAGTAATAAAATGATACATAAAACAAAGCAAACAATTGTAATATCGAGCTTATTCATCCATCATTTAAAAAAACATTCAGATCTTATTGTCCATCCGGAGGAGGCTTAACCATTATGATACGTTAACATCCACAAAAAAGTTTAGCTTACAAATTTCGGAGTTTAAGTGCTTTAATAAAAAAACTTCCCCATAATTAGAAGAATATAATACATGAAAAAATTTAAAGGACCTAACCGTAAAAGAGACAACTTACACATCCTTTCCCACGTGTATGCGAGACTCACACGGAAACCTCTATATCACTTCCCGACTCCTCTCTCTCCTCATTCATAAAAATTCGGAAAAAAAAAAGAAATAAATCTTTTTTTTTTTAAAAGGGGGAAATGCCCATGGCCATGGGTTCTTCAGCGAGTGGGAATGGAATCAAGCTAAAGAAAGATAAAGAACCTCTCTTTTCTACTCCAAACCCTAACCCTAATCCCAATCCAATGCCGACCGGCGATGGCTCTTCCGGCGACGCGGCGGCGCTCTCGCGGGCGGAGGTCCTCAGCCGGCGATCTCTGCGAGCGAAGCAGCTCGCTAGGGTTTATAGAAGGCATTACTGGTCGTTGATTGAGGAGATTAGGGTTAAGCATCGGGACTACTATTGGGAATTTGGGAAAAGCCCTTTGGAGGAGGAGAATGAGAATGGGAATGAGGAGGGCGAGAGGAAAAGGTGCGGGTTTTCTGGGTGTAAATCGAAGGCGATGCCGCTGACGAGGTTTTGTCATCAGCATATATTGGCTGATGGCAAGCAGACGCTGTACAAACCTTGCGGATTTGCGACGAAAAGGTATGAAATTTTAAAATTTTCAGTTAAGGAAGTATGTGTGAAATTTGGGGTTTTGGGTGTTTTGGCATCTAATGTGGCTCTTGGTTTCCCAGTTTGCTTATTGTTTGAGTTATAATTTAGTTATTGACAAGAATTTGTAAGAGTGACTCCCTATTTAGTAACTGTGGGACTAAATGTAAGTACACACTGTATAAACCCTGCGGATTTGTGTGGAAGAGGTATCTGAGTTTTTAATTTTATATTTGTGGTTTTTTTTTTTTTGGGATTTCTACAAATATTGCAGTTACGAAAGTATATGTGAAGTTTGATAGGTTTGGGTGTTGTGGCATCTAATGATGCTGTTGATTTTTTTCAGTTTGCTTATTGTTTGCATTAGAGTTTCGTTATTAACTAAATGGACCCTAACATACCACTGTGCTTTCGTTAGTCCTGGCTCCCACTTGGGCTGGTTTTGCACTATCTAGTCAAAACTACTAATCTAGTCTCAGTCGAAAACCGCAATTCCTGCCTTACCTCTTGCGTTGCTCGCTTACAACCAGGAAGGTGGGGTTGATTATGATACCGTTATAAACCTTGGAGAGCTTACCCCTAAAAGCTATATCTATTAGAGGGAGGTAACCCAATTCCCTTACAAATCCACAATTGTCTCCCTGTTTAGTTAATGTGGGACTAAACGGGCGCTAATTAAATGAAACCCAATACCCCTGTAAATTCATAACTGTAGTTTTTGGAGTTTGATATATGATTATTTAACTTAATTAGGATGTTGACTTTTTGTTAAAGTTGCTGCTTTTTATTTTGTTAGTATCAAATTAGGACACTATAAAGGTTAAGAGATTCAAGCTGCTGACAAACTTTTCATGTACTATGTATCTGTTTTTTGTTTATATGCACACCCTTTTAGTACCAGTTGAATTGTCAAGATGGCCTGTTCAAAAACTCTCAAGTGTATAATGAGCTTGATACCAATTTAGCTAGCCCTACCCTATTCTTGTGTATTGCTAAGTAGTCCCCAGCACACCACATATGTGGTAACATTGGACTTTAAGAGTCTAGAACTTACTGTAATTTTCACTTTTGATGACACAAACATTATGAGACAGAACTGAATACATACCTTTGCAACAACTTATCCATAATAGATCCTGTCTGGCATTCAAGTTAACTTCTCGTACTTCGTTTAATTCTAAATTATCCAAAAGCATGGTGGTTCCAATGCCATACAAGAATAAGTTTAATGTGGAGTATATAAAGATATTCTAGATATGAGATTTGATTTGCAGCAAAGATCTGCAGAGATCTCTTCACAAAAGAAGGATAAGTATTTGATGGGCGGAGTACGATGAATACAACTCTTCAAATATACTTGACTTCTTTTACTCCTGTTTCAGTGGAAAACAGAATACTACCTTTCTACTGCACACACATCTTGTCACATCCAACATCTTGCTAGAAATTTGACCTGTTAGGTTCCACAATCACACCAGAAAACTGTCTTATTTTCCAGGTCTGTGACACTCACTTCTTCACCAATTTGAGCATTTAGTTTTAGCATCTTTAGAGCAATGTTGTAAATAGCGGCCAATAGCGGGGCTATAGCGGCGCGAATAGCGGTCGCGGCCCTTTAGCGCTACGCGTAGGGGTTTCGCGGCTGGCTTAAGCGGGAAAATCCGCTATTCATTCGAATAGCGCGTAAAAGCGGATTTTAGCGGGTTAAAAGCCGGTTTTCACGGTTAAAAGCGGGTTTTCGCGGTTAAAAGCGGATTTTCGCGGTTAAAAGCAGATTTTTGTTGTTAAAAGCGGCTAAACCCGCTATCACACATATTATGATGCTATATTTCTTGAATTTCTTCATAGTTTCATTCATACAACAAGCTTATTAATTGTTATTTATTGATAATACAAGAAATTTACAACTAATTGAATTTTTAGATTTTTTTTATGAATTTTCTTATTATTTAGGATATTTAAATATATTTAAATTTGACCGCTATTTGACTGTGCGCTATTTGCCGCGATTTCGCCGCAATAGCCCGATATAGCCTTAGCGGTACCTCGCCGCGGCGCCGCGATCCGCTATTAGCAACCTTGCTTTAGAGTTATTGTGTAGCAAAATAATGTACATCTTTCATACAATAAGCTCTAAAGACAACTAAATCAAATCAAAACTATATACTTAACCTAGTACTTTTGCAAGTGTTTCTAAATTCACAATTTTTTTCCGAATAGCATATTTAGCGTTTCTACATTTTGCTTCATACCATGTTAACTTAGTTTCAGAGGCATGCATTTGTTCCAGTAGTATACAGTATTCATCCATTTTGCTCCATACCATGTTAACTTAGTCTCTGAGGCATGCAGTTGTTCCCATAGCATATTTAGAGTTCCTTCAATTTGCCCCATATAGCTTGTTAACCTAGTTTCAGAGGCATGCAATTGTGAAATGGCATAATTTCTTATCAACTAATGAACACATTCATACTAGAATATGCTTCGTTTTATCACGTTAGAGATAGATAATTTACAAAAAATTTTGCATTAAATTTTCCAATCTAATGCTGTATCTGACTTGATATTATTATATCTGCAAGTCATGATGAAACCTACTAACTAGCATGGATATATGTATCACACAAGATGCCTTGACGGTGAAAGGGTATCCATGCGAGATTCAAAATCTGCTGCTAATGAGCATGTAGATTTGAGTCCTTTTCAAGGAATCATGCTTATCAGTTTCATTGGATTAACAGTTCAGTGGGGATTTGTGTATGTAATTGTCTATATGGAAAATATTTTTGAAACAAGTTCTTGTGTCTTGAGTCATATTGAGGTATTTCTTCAATGAACATGGACATCATGCTAAACATGCTCGGTATACGAAGTCCTGTGCTGCATCCTGTACAAATTAACATTTACACATTCATAATAAACTGAATGTGCAAACTGGATATATGCACACATTTTCTAGGGGAGTGCGTGAATATGAATAATCAGATGTAAATTCAACAAAATGTCTGTATTTTGACATATATGTATAACCACATATGCAATACCTAAAATATAAATATGAACAGTGTTAAACTATCCAATACATCTGAATAGATCTCCAAATCCAAATATTGGAATATTAAAATGGGACCCATACCTTCAAGCGTTTGCTTGGTCTGTAGTAGGTCTACCTGTTGAGTTGAACTGGAGATTGGTCCCACCTGGGTTGAGTCCTCCTACGTAACGGTTGAAGTTCGACCTAGGTGGGATTCAAACTCGGTGCTCCTATGAAAGGCACACTCCTGACCCAGTTTCCCTCAATACCAAAAAAAGAAAAGCATATACAATTGTAGAAATTAATATAATTAGTATCACATAATATATTAAAAAGATATTTTATTGGATTATACATTAATATTGAAGAGCATACAAATCTAATTTGAGTCTAAATTTGGCTTTATCGATATGGATAAAGAGCTTAGTGCCTAGACAATGTCTGTACCAGGATCGGTATCAGAAAGAGAAGACAAATACAGATGCAGTAATACCCAAATCTTCTCCCTTTAGAGTACACTTTTGCATAACCATGCTTCTCATGCATGAATGCATGTGTAAGTTGCCCTGCTTTTCCTACCTGTGCACAACATAGATATCAGGTCATGTGAACTTATGTACACACAATGAGGTCCGCCAAAGATCCAGGACTGTTGAAGTTTGAAAGACACGTGGATCACACATCCATGTCTTTTTCAGATGTTGCATTATCTTTTTCTGGTAACTTTGAACGATATGTCGTTATTCTTGTTAGACATGTATGATTTGTGTTATTTATGATATGTATCAACATCAATGTAGCATCCTCTAGCTATGATTTATTCTTTGTGATAGGATTTTATTCATACAAAAGTTATTTCTGTTGAGAGTGAAAGTCATGATATCTAGTAGTCTCCCATGCGATTTATGCTGGAAGGATGTCCTAAAGTATGCCTTTATTTGATACCGGATTAAACTTCTATGTGAACACTATATTGCATACTCCATTACATAAGCAAATTGTTACGGTTGCGAAATTGGTAAACCTACTGATATCCATACTTATGTCCCAATGGATATGGCTTAAAAAGTAGCTAATCAATTATGACATCAAATATAGCTGTGTGTAACTGAATTGTCCCCATTACGGTCATTCAATGAACGCATCATGTCATTTAAACTTGAGTACTTGTGTATCATTATGTGTTGATTTGCACACACAGATACAAATTGTTATCCGATTCTTAGTTGAATGAATTTGAATGATATGAACCATATGGCACGATCATTAGTTTCCTTAGGAAAAACTGTTTCCTATATTTTAACTTTCATGCCGTTTCTTGGTTAATTTGGCCTTTTTGGTATTGAGCAGTGCGCAGAGTGTCCACATTACATGTGGGAAGCCAGTTCTGAGATCTACAGTTCCCTGTCTCTGCCCTGTGCACTTTCAGAGGATTCAGAAACAGATTTCGCAAGCTTTGAAGAAGGCTGGCGTTAGTTCTTCAAATAAGGCTCCTCCAAAGTTTCATGTCTTGGTTTCTGAATGCGTGAGACAAATTCAAGCCAGAAGAAGAAAATTATTGAATGCAGAAGTAAATGCAGATAAGGTTAACAATGACAATTAAATCTTTGATGCTAGTGGTTTGCATGTCAGGCAGAAAAAAAGGAAAGAAGATGGGTGCAATTATAAAATACTGTCACAAGAGTTAGTTTGCATTTATTTCTCTTTAGCTCCTGATTCTTCACTAAAGACCGCTCATTAGACAGAGGCGGAGATCATTGACCAGAACACGTTGTTGGACATCATCGGCTGCCTTGCCCAGTGGAAGAAAAACTCATTATTTGACGAGGTAAACTTTAATCATCCTTGTTATAACTTCTTTCCTTGTACTTAATGATGTATTATCTTTGACCCTAATCTTCTATGGTTCAAGATTCCATCACAAGTTAGCTGTCATTTCTTCTCTCTTCCATCGTTTGTGTAAATATTTATTTTCCTGCCGGAGTGGCTCAGCCCTATCTTTCATTTAATTGTTTTTGTAATTGGTGCGCATGCATCTGATTGGTGTAATCAATGTTTTCTTGGGATTATTTCTGATAGCCCCCACTATTTTGAACTTACTACCCCACTAGTTTTATCTTTGCATGTAGCCCCTCTTGAAATTATTTTTGCCTCTTTCACCCTCAGAGGTTCTTTTAACTTCTGTTTGTCAGAGAACAAATTTCTCTTTCTTTGAAGGGAGTCAAAAATTTTCGGTCAGAGGGTCTATCAGCGAAAATAAGGCTTGGTAGTAAGCTAAAAATAACGACACTACAGTGGTGTCTATTTGTGATTAACACGTCTTTTTTTAATTGTGTTTTTTTGTGACCTCAAAAGTGATTTTATTGTCTTTGCTAAGAGGATTGAATATCAAAATGCATTATATTCTGATTGAGATAGTTTTTGCAGGTATGTCTCAGGCAAATAATGTCATGGGAATAACCGGCTTGAACCCCAGTAAGACGCAACATACCTGATCCGTTACCGGTGATGACAGCATGCTATTGATAATGCGAAAAATCGTAAATACTCTCCATCAGCTAGTTCCATTCAACATTGTGTGAAATTGAAAAACCAAATTGTTTGCATAAACCCCTTTTGCTGCAAAATTATTGTTGGTGGAATCTGTGTAGGGTATTATCCAGTCTCTTTCGGAATTGAGCATGAAATCAAGTTGCCATTTGGTACGGATTGGTTGGCATTGATACCTTTGCTTGCTTGCTTACCTTCTCCTGCTCAGAGGTGGCACATTGTCTCTGTTCTGATTCTTTTTTTTTCTGGGAAAAAGAACTGACTCATGGCTGTAGCATGAGCTTTTGTACAGTGTATATTCATCAAACTGCAATTTGATTGCAGTTTACTGTGTATAGGACAATTTAAGAACAATTTCATACTAGTCTGGAAAATAATTGACTGTAATTTGAAATGTTGATATAAGTGGTCAATTGCTTCCAAGGTGCTGTTGTGATGTTTTGTTGAAGAACAAATTTTTTAAACAGACCCATTCCAACTTTTTATTTTCAAAACCGACTTTTTTTTTTATTTACCAAAACCGACCTGATTTTGTGATTAGCAGACTAATCACCTTCCTAAATAGTCGGGGTTGGCAACCCCGACTATTTAGGACATTAATTTTTAGGGTTTAATGCTTCTAATTAGGGTTTAACACCGTCCTAAATAGTCGGGGTTGCCAACCCCGACTATTTAGGAAGGTGATTAATCTGCTAATCATAAAATCGGGTCGGTTTTGGTAAATAAAAAAAAAGAGTCGGTTTTGAAAATTAAAAATTGAAATGGGTCTGTTTAAAAAAAAATAAAAAAAAAGAGTCGGTTTTGAAAATTAAAAATTGAAATGGGTCTGTTTAAAAAATTTGTTCTTTGTTGAACTTGTTGTGCTTATCGCTCCTCCTTTTGAAATCATATTTGACCTTTTTGACAATTCTAGGCGTTTAGCTAGACTGAGTTTTTTTAATTACTTTCTTTCGTTGCTACTAGAATTATAAGATTTATTTTCTTAATCATATGAATCATGATAGTAATTCACAAGTATGATCTGTGTATGAGTCTTATAGTATCCACTATCTATTATTATTATTAAAAAAAGCTAGTCTTTTGGTCATAAATTTTTGGTGTTTTACCTTATGCAGATAATACAATTAAAAATCTTGATGCCAACTACTTTAGCGCTGTCACACTCTTTTGGGCTAAATTATCATATTACTATTTGTTTTTGACCCCTTCTACTATTTTGGTGTTTTTTTTTCTCGCTCCCATGTTATTTTGGTATTTTTTTTTCTTGGTCCATTGTGCAAATAGACCCAAAAGTTGGTCGACGGCCAAATAACCTGCGAATCGCCTGCGAATCGCTTGGAGTGTATTAAAGGGTTATTATTTTGGTGATTAGGATTAGTTGAAGCATGTGAGAAGTATGTTCAGGTTTAAATCAATATACCTGTTCAAGTGGGACTGGAGGAGAAAACTTACTTTTGCATGGACAAATGGATTGATGATTTCACCTTGGCCTCTTCTTTTCCATAGTTATACCAACTTGACCTACATGTTTTAACTTCTGTTAAGTCTTGTCAATAACAAGTTGGGGCTGGGTGGGGGTGGAATGTTCATTTTAGTAGACAATTGACTGGTCATCTAGTGTTCAAGTATCTTGAATTGTTAGAGACTTTACATCATGCATAATTTAGTGAGGGTCCTAATCATAGAAAATAGTTACAGAAAGCGAAGGGTAGTATTGTTGGGATTGTGTCTTTGATTCTTTGTATAATTTCATGAGCATTAGATATGGTTAGATCTATCATGATTAGGAGATTGTGTCTCATCATGATGAGGAGTTTGAAACCTATTCTAATTAGGAAGTTAGGGTATAGATAGGATTTTGTTTTCCCTATATATATTCTTCTATTATTAGAGGAAAAACCAAAAAGAAGAGTAGAGAGAGCCAATATTCTTGTAACTAGGTTAGCAAAGGCTAGTCTTATTCAAGGATATTGTAAGAGAGGGGAGGGTTTCATAGTCTTTATCCATGCAAAATATTACAACATTGAGAGATGGTTTCGCGGTCTTTGTCCATTTAAAAGATTATAAGGAGTGGGTTTTAGAGAGAATATGAGAGTTGATTATGTATATGAGGTTGAGAGACGAGAGTTGAATTGTTCCTTTTATAGTTCTCCCTGATGCATAGTGGATTTCTCGTATTGTTGCGTCATGGATGTAGGTCGAAGTTAGTTGACCAAACCATGTAAACCTCAGTGTTCTTTCTTGCTGATTGTGGTTGTTTTTTATCTTGTTGATTGTGTTGTGCGCCGCGGAAGCCCCAAATAGACAAATCAAAAAAAACACACACAAGAACAATAGTAGACCACAAGAGAACACAAGCTACCAATCACAGCAAGAACACAAGATATACGTGGTTCGGCAATGTGCCTACGTCCACGGGGCAAGGAGGGGGAAGCTTTACTAATGAAATCAAAGGGGAATACAAATTAGGGTTACAAATCTTACCCAAAACCCTCAAACAAGACCACTTGATCTCTCCAATAGACTCCAACAATAGAAGCCCTCAAAATCCCCTTTCAGCAGCTCAAAATCTCCAAAGCTTAACCCTAGAAACGAGTTTAGGGTTTATATACAACTTACAAACGAAACGGGTCTGGAAACAGAACCCAACCGAAACCCGCAGCGGCGCCGCAGCGCTTCGTCCGGTCGACCGCCCAAATTCCAGAGGCACACTAAGAGTTGTGTGCACATATCGGTCGACCGCAGCTCCACTGCCGGTCGACCGCCCAACTTCCAGAGGCATACCTCTGACTTTTCACCAACTCTACAAATCTCCACCTCGGCGAACGTTTATGCCAAAACTGAGCCGACACCAAAACACCCCCAATTCAACTTAACCGGCTGCATCTGCAAGACTGCCTACGTATCCTCTTGCCCAAGGAATCAAGCCGAACGTAGTTCATCCAAATGGCCGCCAATGGCCTCAACAATGAAGAATATTCAACAAGTTCAAACAATGACCAAACTTCACACCTGGTACAACTTTGGTCAACATATCAGCAGGGTTATCCTTAGTGTGGACCTTCTCCAACGTGACATCACCATCATCTAATACGTCACGTACAAAGTGAAATCTGACATCAGTGTGCTTCGTGCGTGCATGGTAGACTTGGTTCTTCGCCAAATAGATAGCTGACATACTATCACAATGTACCTGAATGGTCTCCTGTGCAATCCTCAAATCATCCAACAAACCATGTAGCCACAAAGCCTCCTTCACTGCTTCAGTCACCGCCATATATTCCGCCTCCGTAGTAGAAAGCGCCACTGTAGACTGAAGAGTACATCTCCAACACACCGGTGCACTAGCCAATGTAAAAACATAACCTGTAGTGGACCGACGCTTGTCAAGATCTCCAGCATAGTCTGAATCCACGTAGCCAATACAATTCTGCCCTGTCTCATCATTCTTCGCAAATATCAACCCAACATCCACGGTACCCTTAATATACCGTAGAATCCACTTCACGGCCTCCCAATGCCCCTTCCCGGGGTTGTGCATGTACCTAGATACCATGCTCACGGCCTGTGACAAATCTGGCCTAGTACACACCATAGCATACATCAAGCTACCCACTGCGTTGGTGTATGGAACTTTGGACATGTAGTCTCTATCCTCCACTGAAACTGGTGACATCAAAGCTGAGAGCTTAAAGTGGGGAGCTAATGGAGTACTCACCACCTTGGTATTACCCTCAAAATTAAATTTCTTCAGCATCTTCTGCAAGTAACTCCTCTGTGTAAGCTTCAATCTCCCCTTCACCCTGTCTCGCTCAATCTCCATACCCAATATCTTCTTAGCCTCTCCCAGGTCATTCATCTCAAATTCAGATGACAACTCCTTTTTCAATTTCCCAATAGCTGAAGTGTTCCTGGAAGCTATGAGCATATCATCAACATACAATAACAAATAAATGTGCTCACCATCCTGTAGCTTGAGCATATAAACACATGGGTCATAAGGGCTCCTCGTGTATCCTCGGCCAATCATAAAGCTATCAAATCTCTTATACCACTGTCGCGGTGATTGCTTCAGTCCATAAAGAGATTTCTTCAATTTGCACACCAAATCTTCTCTTCCTGCAGCTTTAAACCCCATAGGTTGTGTCATGTAGATCTCCTCATCTAAGTCTCCATGTAGAAAGGCCGTCTTCACGTCCATTTGGACCAAATCTAAGTCCAGCTGTGCCACCAATGCCAATAGTATCTTAATCGACGAATGCTTCACAACGGGTGAAAACACCTCATTGTAGTCAACGCCCTCAAGCTGTGCATATCCCTTGGCAACCAATCTGGCCTTGAACCGAATATCCCCAATAGAAGATCCCTCCTTCTTAACATACACCCACTTGCAACCAATAGCTTTCTTACCCTTCGGTAGCTTTGCAAGTTCTCAAGTGTCGTTCTTCTGAAGAGATTGCATCTCCTCCTCCATAGCATTCCTCCACCTAATAGAATCAGGGCTGGACTCTGCCTCCCTGAATGTGGCAGGAATAAGATCATCAACGACCTCCACCGATAAAGCATATGTCACCATGACATCATCATATCTAGCTGGCCGACGAATCTCTCTCCTCGGTCTATCTGCTGCAATAGACCCCTGAGCATGACCCTGCTCCTGAGCCTCATCATCCACTGTATCCCCCAAATGCCCGACTGTCATCTTAACTCCTTCCTGTGTCACCTCTGTAGGAGTCTCTATGGGAACAGTGCCAACTGGAGTGGGTGGAGTCACATCATCCTCCACCTGCTGCGATATCCCTCCTGTCTGATCTTCCTCCACCTGCTGAGGAACTCGAGGCTTCATCATGTACGCCTCATCGAATGTGACATCTCTGCTAATGATCATCTTCTTGTCTTGTGGATCCCATAATTTGAAGCCTTTTACACCTTCTCTAAATCCCACAAAGATAGCCTTCCTCGCTCTCGGATTCAACTTCCCATCACTAACATGGAAATAAGCTGGACACCCAAATATCCGAAGAGTCTCATAATCACTAGCCACAGAACTAGACCAACGCTCCAAAGGAGTCTTTCCCTCTATCGCAGTGCACGACAACCTATTAATGAGATGGCTCGCATAAACTAACGCCTCGGCTCAAAAAGATCTAGCCAATCCACTCTGCATCATCATACATCGTACCTTCTCCAGCAAGGTACGGTTCAGCCTCTCTGCCACCCCATTCTGTTGCGGTGTCTCTCTAACTGTGAAATGTCTTCTAATGCCGTGATCCCGGCAAAACTGCAGAAATGGATCACTCTTGTACTCTCCATCATTGTCTGAACGAAGAGTCTTCACCTTTCTACCTGTCTGCAGCTCCACTTTCTTCTTCCACTCCACAAATATATCCAGGACCTCATGTTTATGCTTTATGGTATATACCCAATTCCTCCTGGAATAATCATCAATGAAAGTGACAAAATAATTTGCCCCACCAAGTGATGTGTGCTTAGAAGGGCCCCAAACATCTGTGTGAATGCAGTCTAATATACCTTGAGTGTTGTGAATTGCGGTGCCAAACTTCACTTTAGTCTTCTTCCTAAGTATGCAATGCTCACACAGATCCATCTTGCAGGTCTTTGCACCTTTCAATAGCCCCTGTTTTGCCAATGACTGAAGGGACTTTTCACCTGTGTGTCCAAGCCTCATGTGCCATAGTGTGGTAGTGTCCTCCTCTGTGGTGATAGAAGCTGCCAGACCCCCTGTAACTGTCTTGCCCTTCAAGTAGTATAGGTTGTTTTCCCTGACACCTCGCATCACCACCATGGATCCCTTCATGACCTTCAAACTAGCATCCTCTAATATCACTCTATAACCGGATGCCTCCAAAGTCCCAATAGAAATGAGGTTCTTCGTCAACTGCGGCACGAACCTCACATCTTTCAATTCCCTAGTCACCCTGTCATGCATTCTGATTCTGACTGAGCCAATCTCACTAATAGGACAAACGTGATCGTTCCCCATGAGCACCACGTCTCCTCTCTTCAACTCCTCAAAGTTGGTAAACCAATCCCTCTTAGGGTAAATATGAAATGTAGCTCCCGAATCAAGCATCCACTCCGTAGAGTCGGCATAACAAACAGACGGCAGTGCGGGACAAGAATAACCGGAATAATCCGAATCTGAAGTGTCGCCAACAATCTTAGCAACATTCACCTCTGAAGCTTGTACAGCTTTCCCCCTTTGCTTCCCGGCTCTATCCTTCAACTTTGGGCACTCATTCTTCTAATGTCCCTCTTCTTTGCAAAAGGCACATTGATTTCTACCAACACTTTTATGGCCACCCCTATTCTTTGATTTTGAGCGGTTGAACTTTTGGCGGTTTGGACTACGGCCACGAACTGCAAGTGCATCACCCGATGCCTTCTCGGAGGGCTCACAATCATTCTTCCTCAGCTCATAATTCACTAATGCCGAGGTCACCTCCTTGTAGCTAACTGTAGTTCGCCCATTTATCATAGTGAGAACAAAGGTACTAAATTCATCATCCGGCAACGAACACAAAAGTAACATCGCCTTGTCTTCATCCTCCACCATGATATCAACATTGGCCATATCCGAAATTAGCTTTGTGAAGTTGTTAACATGCTCTCGAATGGAAACTCCTCTCTTCATCTTGAATTGGTAGAACCTTTTCTTCAAATGAAGCCTATTCTCAATGCTCTTTGTCAAATATTTTTCATTGAGCGTTTCCCACAATCTCTTTGCCGACGTCTCATTCATCACATCATAAATGAGATCCGACGTCAAGCATGACCGAATCACCCCACAAGCCCTACTGTGCATTTTCTTCCAAACCCTATCATCAATCTCCTCGGGTTTCTCTTGAAACTCAAGAGTCTACTCTAAATTTTGTGCAGCTAAGGCGTCCATTACTTGACACCTCCATAAACCAAAGTTAATCTTGCCGTCGAACTTTGGGATATTAATTTTAGTGTTATTGATGCTCAAATTTTGGATCGCCTTTGTCAAAGCCGACCCCGATGTACTAGTAGCACTTGAACTAGCCCTGCTTGTATCACCCATATTGTAGATCTACTCTTCCAACAAGAACCCAGCAATGAATCCTTCGTAAAACTCTCAAATCCAACCCGGAGCTCTGATACCACTTGTTGTGCGCCGCGGAAGCCCCAAATAGACAAATAAAAAAAAACACACACAAGAACAATAGTAGACCACAAGAGAACACAAGCTACCAATCACAGCAAGAACACAAGATATACGTGGTTCGGCAATGTGCCTACGTCCACGGGGCAAGGAGGGGGAAGCTTTACTAATCAAATCAAAGGGGAATACAAATTAGGGTTACAAATCTTACCCAAAACCCTAAAATAAGACCACTTGATCTCTCCAATAGACTCCAACAATAGAAGCCCTCAAAATCCCCTTTCAGCAGCTCAAAATCGCCCAAGCTTAACCCTAGCGGTCGACCGCCATCAATGCTGAAGCCCAGTGAACAATGTGCACGAATGCGGTCGACCGGGCCGGTCGACCGCCACCCAGTTTGCCTGAATCTTAACCTGTCAACCTCTGCTGCTAATTCCACAGATTGTGGGTTGGCTTCCAAGTTGCGGAGATCGTAATACGCGGGGATACTGAAATTCTCCAGCACGTTTCTCGACAAAGTATCCATATCACTTCTTAGTGGATGGGGATGTTAGAGTTTTATGCGCAGATATTTGGGTGGAATCTACTCCTTTGAAAATTAAGATGCCATTCTGGTTGGCGTTACGGGGGAAAGTGAATACAAAGTATAGGTTGTTAATAAATAAATAAAAAATTCAGATAGACGCTTTGTGTGTCCCGTGTGGAAAAGAAAATGAAACGCATGAACGTTTGTTCATAGACCTTGTGCGCGTGAGATCTATGTGGGAGTCTTTGTGCTACAAGTTTAAACTATTGTGACTCTCTGCCACGTGATTTGGGTATCATATGGAGCTATTGGAGGCGTACCGTGCTCAGGGGCAACACTAAAGAGATTGGGAATCTCATCTTTTTGCATTGATTTGGAGCATTTTGGAGTGATAGAAATAACAGTCTTCACTCACAAAAAGGTCCTTTCTCTTCAGCTTTGGAGAAAAAAAAAAGTCACTTATTTTGCTTCCTTTTGGCTGATAAGGCAAAACGGCCTCTGCGGTCATGAATGAAGACGGAATTGGAGACACTGCTACAGGGGATGGAACTGTACCAGTTGTGCATCAACCTCAGAAAACGAAGAGCTGGCAGTGAGAAAAAGACGGAGGGCAAAGAATGAAGTGTTCTAGTTATACACTTTTGTAGCTATGGCTGCGTCTGTGTCTTTGATCCTTTGAAAAGGCTTAGGTTGGTGTTGTTCGAGTCTTATGTGTTTTGTAATTAGTAGTGTTACACCCCGGGCCTGCGGGCCCGTTGGCGCGTGGGAGCCGTGGGACTCACCGAGTGTAACGTGCTATTTGGCTCAAATCACTGTCAAAATCGACTAGTCAATGTTACACTTGAATCTTTAGCTTACTATATAAACCTTTAAATATTTTATTCTCTCACCGATGTGAGACTCTAACTTCGGGTCGGTGGGATGTCACAAGTAGAACGTAATAGAAGTACGTCCTATGGTTGGGGGTGTGCTCCATGAATTAATTATATCCAACCTTTTTAGAGGTAAAAATATAGTGGCTGGGGCTTCATGTTCGAAGTCCCATCATTGTTCTCTTTTATAAAATTCCTTTGCCTCTCTTTGAATTTGAGCTTGAATTTGAAGAGGACACGCTGAATATTCAAGAAATTTAAAGAAAATAAAGGTGAAATTGAAAAGAGGGAGCTGTGATTTTAAGGCAAAACTAATTTCTCGGCCCCGATTCTGAATGAACTTGGTCAGCAACAAATTTCCAGTCCTATTTTTTACATAATGGGCCAAGAAAAAATGTACAAGGGGGGGTCAAAAGGAAACAGGCATGAAATTTGCACCACACCTTTTTTTTTTTTTATATATCTCAAGCTCAAATTTCCCTCGCCCGCACCACACATCCACAATCCATCATCCCTTTTCAAAGGCTCGACGAGTCCAAAAGAGATGTCCGTCGAAACCCGAGACAAGCGCCTCTCCTCCTCCCCCCCCAACATCGTCTTCACCGAGGGAAAAGAAAGAAGAAGGAAGTAAATGATGTTGTTGAGTAGAATCCCAAACTCTTCACTCCTTAATTATTCTCCCTCTCTCTGCTCCTTTTCGAAATCTGTAGCGAACCCTCTCCTCTTCAAGAAACGAGCGGGTCTTTTTCCAGCGGGGAGGATGGCATCAAATTCTTCGGCGGCGATCAGAGCGTCAGCCCAGACCCTCACCGACCCCGATGAGCTCATCGGCTCCGTCGAAACCTTCATCTTTGATTGCGATGGTCAGCTCTGTCCCCTTGAGCCTATCTTACCACCTTTTACTAGAACTTTGTTCAGAGTTTTTGATTCTTTCTTTTTTTGTCAAATTCGTTGAGTGCAGGGGTTATTTGGAAAGGGGACAGTCTCATCAGTGGCGTCCCTGAAACCCTGGATATGCTCCGCTCAAAGGTGGGGGGGGGTTTTTTTTTTAACGCTTTTGCTTTTGCTTTTTTTTTTCTTATTTAAAATTGGAATTTTATCCTGTTAACTGGGTAACTTAGGGGAAAAGATTGGTTTTTGTGACGAACAACTCGACAAAATCCCGGAAGCAATACGGGAAGAAATTCGAAACTTTGGGATTGAAAGTCAATGAGGTCAGTTACTTATTATTATGTCCGTTTGGGTATCTATTTATGTGTTGTTCTGTTTTTTTATTTGAGTTGGGTTATTGTGGATTGGTGTAGGAAGAGATCTTTGCCTCGTCTTTCGCTGCTGCTGCTTACTTGAAGTCCATTGACTTCCCTAAGGATAAGAAGGTTCATGCTTTGTTTTCACCGCATTAATTGTTGAAACCTATTTCAATTTGTTTTCGCCTTAAAATTTGCGCATTTTTCATGAACTTATCCGTTATGTTTTTACCTTGAGCGGAAAGGAACTAGTGATCTGAAATGTTTTTCTTCAAATGTCAGGTGTATGTGATAGGTGAGGAGGGAATTCTCAAGGAGCTTGAACTTGCTGGATTCCAGTATCTTGGTGGTCCGGTATGGTAAACTATAATCTTTCCTATAAAATCTATGTTAAATAAGAAGCAACGAATACATTTCATCGACTAGAATGTTAGAGTTTCAGCTTCTATTTCCTCTCCCAGTTCAAGTTGTTATCGAATACATTTCATCGACTAGAATGTTAGAGTTTCAGCTTCTATTTCCTCTCCCAGTTCAAGTTGTTATCTTTGTACTCGATAATTCTTGGTCATTTTTCAATTGCGGGAAGTCTGGGTTCATGTTAAAGTTAGGACTATACTGTTATATGAAGTATACAGGGAAGGGCTGAGAAGTTCTTAGGGGGAAAAAAACACAAACTAGACAAGTGAATAGTCCTTCTAAGGGGTTGGATCAGCAAGTGCTTGGTTCTTCGAGCCTTAGGCATAGATGCTGAAAAGGAAAAATGTGTTCTTGAGTGCATAGAAGTAGACAACAAAATTGCTAACAGGACCTAACATCCATATCGGAGACTTCTCGACAAATGTGATGGATAGAAGTAAATAACAAAATCATCCATTTACCAATTACCGCTCAAAGTTGCGATAAGAAAGCGGGAGGAAGAATCAACAAGATATCAGAAAACTCAAGCAGCTATGGTTTCTAACCTATATACATTATCCACAGTGATAACTAGGAATAAATGTGACCTAGTAGTCCTTACATAACTTCCTAGGGATTTCTTTAAGAGACTAGTGTGGAGATTTTCTTCCCAAGGCATGCATGTTTGTGGACATACATATCACCTTTCACAGGAAATAAGTTACTTTATGTCGGGAGCAGGAGCATTAAGCTTTAAATTTGCAGTTTGATTCATGTATGATGAATCTTTACTTTTAACTTTTACAAAACTTAGGAATGCTACCCTTTCCACAGAAATTTACGATCAGGCTGGAATTTTATGCTTATCTTCTATATAAACTTCTGGTTATGCAAATAGAAATATTTTTTGTATGTTTCTTTTCAGGAAGATGGCGAGAAAAAGATAGAGCTGAAACCTGGTTATTACATGGAGCACGACGAGAGTGTATTTTTCCTCTCCCTTGGTTTCCAGTTTACTATCTAGCTTCTTCTTTTGGTTGGTTATGGAGCTCCTGATGTAGATCCAAGGAGGAGTTATATCTTTCCAAAATTTCACCTAACATATTTTTGGATTTCAACTTTTAGGTAGGAGCGGTTGTAGTCGGATTTGATCGATATTTCAATTACTACAAAGTCCAGTAAGTTACCTCCTAACTTGTATTGTTTGTATTATCAGAGGACAGAAAGACTCGCATAGACTATAGGGTACTAATTTGCATTTGTATAATTTTTCATCATTGTGTCACTTAGTGACTCATAGCAAACACCATGATTTCTTTTCCTTCGTAGTTCATTTTATTAACTTAACGTTTATGTGCAAGGGCAGTCCATATGCTTTTTTTAACATCTTTTATGGCCTTGTAAGCAACAATTCTGTAGGCTATCTGCCTAAATTGGCAGGCACGGGATTTATGGTTTTTCCTCATCATCATCATCTTCTGAACCTTTGTCAATCAATAGGGTTAGCTATGGATCATAAGGGTGAAATTTGAGTGAGATCTGCAATAGTTAACCAAGTTCTTATTATTCTTTATCCTGATACAGTCAATCGTATATTTATTGGTACCAAGTTCTTCTTGGTCTGTGCACAAGGATTTCAAGATCATGAAAATGAAATTTTCATGCTATACCAACAGGTGGACATGTATAAATTCAGAAATTAGTTCTTCTGGAAATTTTGAAGGAACCATTCTTCCTGTCACTGAAAGTGGTCTAATAGGAATGCTTCATTATCCTATGATGGAGTAGGTAACCCTTTTTAGTTCTTCTGGCAATTTTTGAGGAACCACATCCTGTCACTGAAAGTTGTCTAATAGGAATGCTTCATCATCCTATGATGGAGTAAGTAGCCTTGTTGTTACTTTCATGAAGAGATGAAAATGTTGACATCTTGGACTTTGTAACACTTAACCCAGTGTCTTAGAAATGACTTCTATAACAGATAATGGATGGAGATAGTGAAAAATAGGAACTGATTTATATGGACGCAACTTAGTATTATAGCAAGACTAACAAATGTTGTTGACAAGCTGGTAATGAAATAGTACATAGAGTTTGATGGGTATCAAGAAAGATGATTTTGTAGAAGAGGTCTAGGCAAAACCTGGTAGTTATGTATAACTCATTAGGTTTATGGTGGCTCACTAGGTGAAAGAGGAAGGGAAATAGATCTTTGGTGACTATAAGAGAAGGGAAATTGTATCTTGGGCACATTCATGTTCCTGTTTCTCACTGGAGTCAATGTTGGTATAATGCCACTGGAGATGCAAATAAACCAAGCAGAAAGAACTCTTGGGTTATCCGAAAGGGCTTGCACCTTCTCTTCTTGTTTACAGAAAAAAGTAGCAGAAAGGGACGCAAAAGAATTATGAACAGGTAAAGAACGAAAGCAAAAAAGGAAAAAGATTTAAGTGGCTTGTAGATGCAAAAAATATCTCCAAGAAAAAGGTAGGAAGTACAGAAAAGGAACATGAGTCTCCCTTTTCTACCTCTGTCACGGCTTCCATGCATGAGATCCATTCTTATCCCTTATGGTGTAGCCTGGCATTTAACGTCTTGTCGCTTTCTTTAGTCATTTTACATCTGATGTTTCATTGATTAGCATTAATACGTTGACCTTATCGGATTTGTATTCAAGAATGAGGATAGTATATCGATGCCTCGTTCCTTTTTGAAGTGGTGTAATCCAGTTCCTCTGTTTCCGTACCATTTGCAAATTCAAGGATCATGTTAACCAATATGAAAGACCAATTACCACAAATAGTATGAAATTCATGTTGACTAGAAATAGTCTGAAGGGATTGCCAGAATCCTTGGTTGATGAGATAGCTTTGAAACTAACATCACTTTGGATATGCATCCATATGGACTGTATCAGGTTTTCTTAAAATTTATACATTGCAATATGTTAGGTTATAGCTTTGAAACTCATCTTACTTTGGATAAGGCTAAATTACCAGATTGGTATTAAAATAGACCACTTTTACCTGTTGGTATTAAAAATAGCTCGGAGTCTTTTTGGTATTACAAGTACGCCTTTATGCAAGAAGACCCGTAAGTTCAAAGGCGGTGAAAAAAGAAAAAGAAAAAAGGTCTGAGCATCATTTGAGCCCTGACGTGGATAAAAAATAATGACATGGCAGGTAGTTTTTAAGATTAGGCAGTGATAGTTGAGAGCACGTGGGAAGCACATGCCTCTCTTAGGGCGAGGTTTGATTTTGAACTTAGGGTTCATACCAGGTCTCCCCTTCCAAGTTTCAGCTCCAAAGTTGTGACCCATCTTCAAATAGGTCTCTCCTCCAACATGCCCTCTTCAAACTCTAACACAGTAACCCTAATTTCACCCCAATTTATCAACCCTAACCCAAAATTACACCATAAATCCATGTTTGCTTTCACCGAAACACTCAAAAAAACCAAAATCTTGAAAATTTCAACACCCTACGTGAAATCAAGGATTGAGTGTCAAATCTATCTTACTGTGAATGATGCCAATATTCATTTTCTATTTGCAGGTATGGAACTCTTTGTATACGTGAAAATCCTGGCTGTCTTTTCATTGCAACAAACCGAGATGCTGTAACTCATCTTACTGATGCTCAAGAATGGGCAGGTTTACCTCTATAACTCTTTTTTCATTTATCAAGCGTAAATACTATTCAACAAAAATAATAGATGGAGTTAATTGTTTAGTTATAAACTGAGATGAGCTTGAAGTAGTCCTGGTCATCTTTCCATTTCAAGAAGGTTATATATTATATCTAAAACCTCTTATTAACCCTATCACTATGGGCCTTATTTTTGTTTTACAATTTTCCTTTCAAGTCATTGTAGTATTTGTCAGATATTACCAAATAAAACATGGGTCTTCATCTGCAAGGCACCCGATAATATAGTTTTGTTGGCAAAATATCATATCACTTCTTAAAACATTAAACTTAACAGAAGCATACAATACATGCCTTCCTAATTTACTTATCTATTTCAGGTGGTGGTTCAATGGTTGGTGCACTCTGTGGTTCAACCCAAAGGGAGCCACTTGTCGTAGGAAAGCCTTCAACATTTATGATGGATTACTTGTCAGACAAGTAAGCCAACAAAAATCTGTTCTTTACAACAGTTTTCCATTTCTCTAGAGAAAATAAACATACAGGCTTTGTAAACATGAAATTAGAAGGCTGACGAAAATGACAGAATAGTAGAATGACCAACATGGGACTATATGGTGTTTTGGTCAAGGCTAACATAAATATATAGTTTCATGCTTCATAGTTGTTTATTCATGCAACAGAGGGGATTGGAGCATAACAAGAGCAGCTCTTTGTAAGTAAGATATGTTGTGTGTATGCTCTAGGTTTTATCATTTCATAAATTGGACTGTTGTTCCATGCAATTGGTGACAATTCATATAGTGACGACTATAAGAGAATGATCATGGTGTATGGATAAATTAGGGGTGGGGATAACCTTGCAAAATTGGTTCGTGTATTAAATCATGCAGACTTCAGCCGTAGACTTATAATCTTCACTTGGATACTATGTGAGTCGATCTGGCATTCCATTTTACAAAAAATGGCATCAAACGGCATTTGTGTATAGTGACAAGGAAGAACAATAATTCACAAATCTTTAGAATATTTCATCAATTTGCTAACCATATACCAATGAAGTCTTGCTATGTCTAAAATGAAGAAATTAAATTTCCATTAACTGGAACCAAACATACTATGTTTTGCCTATAGCAAATAGGATACTGGTTCATATCTGACTATGCCAATGTAGACTTCCTTTGTCTAGATGAAGAAATCAATTTTCCATTAACCGGAACCAAACATATTATGTTTTTGTATAACAAATAGTACACTGGTTTAAAGGGTTCACGTATAGATGTCGTAATGTAATAGCATGAATGGTTTCCACTGCCAGAAGCAATACATTATGAAAGCTGTTTAAGAGATCAATTATGCATTGCACAACTTTACTTGTGACTATTTCATTTTTTTTAATTTAAAGAAAATGCAATTTTACAAAGAGCACTGTACTAAAATCTACTAAAAACAAAGTCTTACCTATATCCCTTTGTTGAAGTAGAAATCTTCTTTATTTACCTATAGTGACATTATAAGCAGCTAGGTATTATATACAAAAACTTGATGTAAGGACTTTTGTAGCTTATGTAAAGCACTTGAAAAACCTGGAATCAACTATTAATATTATTTCCATCCATATTGTTTAACTTGGTCAGTGAGGTCTCTGTGAACTGATCAACAGAGCGCTGTGAAAGAGGCCAACCTTGATTGCAGAACTGAAGTTGCAATCTTCTCGAACATGGATATTTAACAAATTTAGACCCTGAAACTAGTCAGGAGGGAAGTTTAACCTCCAGTATCTAAATCACAAATATTCATGGTAGGATGGTTCTTTGATTGTTTTCTGATAATCAATTGTATATTTAAAAAATTCTCATAATCATTGTCTATGAGGAGCTAAAAAAATTGTCTGTTTCAAGCTAGTGTATATATAATAGTTGATAGCATAAAGTGAGATGGTCCTTTGATAGTTTTGTCATAATCAATTGTAATATTGTCCTTCTTTTTCTGGTGCAGATTTGGTATTCTTAAATCACAAATATGCATGGTAGGAGACAGACTCGATACCGATATATTGTTTGGTCAGAACGGTGGCTGCAAAACCCTTCTTGTTCTCTCAGGTGATTTTATAGTGCTAAAATATTATCTTATAGCCTTGTAGAAGTTCCTCTAAAATTGGTGTTTTCCTTGTGTACAGGTGTGACTAGTTTGGAAACGCTTCAAAGCCCCAAAAACTCCATTCAACCAGATTTCTACACCAACAAAATATCTGATATGCTTACACTTAAAGGTGCAGCAGTATGAGGCTCTATACTCATGGAATCTGATGTCAAAAATACCCGTTACATTGGTGTAGCCCCTCTTTAACACCAAAAAGAGGAATAGGGAAAGCAAGTGAAGTTTTCTCTATTCAAATTGTTTGGTTGTATGAAAACATTTGAGTTGTAATGAGAGGCACACTTTGATATATAAAATTGAACACTGTTAGAACTCTGAGAGCCAAGTATCTGACTTATGAGGCTAAAAAAGACAGTGACTTAAATTCTGACTGCACTGCTCAATCCAATTCTCCCTACATTTCAAAAATATTATTAAGAAACAATATATACAGATCGGTTTATGAAAAAAACAAGAAAGAAGAGAAGCAAAGGTCCTTTTTCAGATGCACATCAAACTGAAAAATGCATCCTTTGATCACTGGATTTTAACCTTTTTCAGGTATGGCATAATAAACTGTAGCCTCTCCTGTGGTTCAGTACCCCCCCTGCTGAATTCCTTGAGATGGCTGTTGCAAGCGCTCGAGCCCACGACCCATTGGAGCAATCATAGGAACTGAATGAACCGATTAGCTGCACAATATACCATCTTTATACACCATAAACCCTCTGCAAGTTGCCATGCTACCAGAAAATATAGCCAATGGCACAATCTTCACCGACCTCCGTCTCATCATTTCATAGAATGAAGTCTGAACTGCAAGTAAACCTGTTCTTTCAGCTAAGGAAAATAAACCTGAGAGGCTTACTGGACAAGTTTTGACACCAGCGTTAGCAATTCCCGCACTTCTTTGAAGACGTTCTATACCAAACTTCACTGGAACGGGTAGTTTGAAAATAGCAAGCTTTACGAGTGCATAGAAAGGAACAACTTTCAATAGAGAAGTTGCTCTTGCGCCCAATGCAATAGGATTGTCTGCTAATATCTCAGTTTCTGTATCTTCGTCGCGACAAAAATAATGTGTGAAGCATAGATCAGTTAAACTAGCAATTTCAAGAGGTACAGGTGTAGCCCAATGCCTCCTTAGACACAAAGTTGGGCTGCATTTCTTTCTTAAGCAAATAGCTGATAGACAGAATTTGTACCTTGGATATATGGTCTCCAGTTTTAACATTGCTTGGCAATTGTGCAGCAGACCTCTTGTATGGGGATTCAAGTAATATGAATTGTGAACTAATCTCATGCGTAGCTTTCTTGGCAGCGAAGATGTGACCATACAGTTATACTCCGAAGATTTCTTTCAAGACCTGAGGTTTAGAAGACGCCTCGTACTGCTCTTTGTTGATCTTATCAACTAGACATTTTTTTAAGAACTCCAAAAGAAGAAGTGGGCACGTTGATCTCTTGATCATCTGGCAAACTCTCTGGATTTCTGTCAGGATGGATGAAGCAACCAAGCATACTACACCCTCAGGCTGAACTTCTTTGATCGGCTGTTCCGCATCAAGAGCAGATTGTTTGGAGAGGTTTTGTGCGGCCATGATGTGAACTATAGAATGAGAATCTGGGTCCTGGATAGCAAATATGAATTTCTTGGTGTGTTCAGGAAGCGAAAGCTTATGAACCAGCTGGCTTGAGAGTTTCAAATCATCTCTCTTTAGCATGGAGAATGGCCACAAATACAAGTAAGAAATGAAGCACAGCTCTAAGAGCATCCTGCAGATGACTATTATGCAACCATATACACTATGGCATAAATTATGGGACTAGCTCAAATTTCTTGCTGAGGTCAAGAAGCTTCTCTCCTTCACTTCTCCCCATACTCCTTAGAAATAAAGACAATGAAGCTTCCCTCAGTCCCTTCTCTGAGAGACTCCACAGAAGTATTTACTGTGCTTTCGGTAATAGATGTCACTGCAATGTGTCAATCCCATTTATAAGTTGTCAGGAAATTTCCAGACAAAGCAAAAGCGTAATAAAAACATCAAAATACCATACACACGCACGTGCGCGCGCACATAAACAATCACAGGTGCATGTAGCATCCAAGAATGAACGGGAATGCGTTCATGCACCGCATGCACACAAACGAATCATAAACACATACCCACTATAGCACATATGCACACACATGCAAACTGTGACGAGTAAAAGGATATTGTAAGGGAAAAGGAAATACATGCTGGCAAATACTATGCATGGGAAGTGAGTATTATTGTATAAGACAGTATATCATTTGTGTTGACCTTTTGGCTTGAATCCAAAATGGGTGGGACCCATTTCAAATCTATTTTCTCAATTTTAGATTGTAGAATGACAGCATATATCGGGGAGATTTTTTATTTGATTGGGGGTCACTCTCACTTGTGGGTCCCCCCAATCAATCATACTCTCATTTTGTTTTCGGTGAGAGTTTTAACAAACATCAGAGAGATAGAGAGATAGATAACTACGAGAGCTCTCAAAAAAAATTTGTACTCGTGTGGAAACTCGGAGAGAAATAAAATTTAGCCCCCTCTTGTCGTGGACGTAGATCAATTTGATCGAACCACGTAAATATTGTGTGTTTGTAATTGTCTCTCTATTTTCTGGTTTTGTGTTTAGTGTGTTATTTTGGTACATTTGATCAGACCGCTGCGGACCGCTGAGGGTTTCTTAACCCAACAAACTGGTATCAGAGCTTCTCAGTTCTAGGACAACTTTCAATCCTCCACAATGGCTTCTGTGAAGTTCTCGGTGTCAATCTTCGATGGCCAGAACTATTTCGGCCTATGGAGGATAAAGATGAAGGCTTTGTTGCAACGTGAAGGCACGGTTAAAGCTATCGATGTGAAATACCCAGAAGATATGACTAGTGCTGAGATCGAAGAGATGGATGAAAAGGCTCACAGCGCCTTGCAATTGTCACTATCCGACAATGTGCTTTGTGAAGTTGCCGATGAGGAAATGGCAGCGGGGTTGTGGTCAAAGCTCGAAAGTCTCTACTTGAAGAAATCTCTTACTACGAGATTATACTTGAGGCAGCAGCTATACACATTGAAGATGAAGGAAGGAACACCCATTTAGGAACACCATGATAAATTTAATAAAATTGTCATAGATATGAAAAATCTGGATCTTAAGCTTGATGATGAAGACCAGGCTCTCATTGTGTTGTGTTCCTTGCCTGACTCTTATGAAAGCTTGATGATGAAGACCAGGCTCTCATTGTGTTGTGTTCCTTGCCTGACTCTTATGAAAACTTTGTTAACTCTATGTTGTATGGAAGAGATTGTGTTCCTTGCCTGACTCTTATGAAAACTTTGTTAACTCTATGTTGTATGGAAGAGAATCCATAAGTATTGAGGATGTAAATGCCTCTTTGAATTCTGCTGAGTTAAGAACAAAGTTCAATGGGAGAGGTACCGATAGGCAGGCTGATGGTCTGCTAGCTAGAAGAAGAACGAAGACCAGAGAGGGTGATAAAGGGCAAGCCATAAATCGATCAAAGTCTAGGTCAGCCCAAAACAAGAAACATGTGGAGTGTTTCTACTGTCACAAGAAAGGGCATTACAAATCAGAATGCTATGCTCTAAAGAAGAAAGACAACCAGCGTGGTAAAACCTCGGATATAGCTAATACGGTAAAGGATGATACTGTCGTTGTTGCTAAGACGGTTCTTGCAGTTTGTTTCTTGGATGGCCGTTCCGATAGAGAATGAGTTTTGGATACGGGTGCGTCTTATTATATGTGTCCAAATAAAGATTGGTTCACTACTTATAGATCTAGAAGTGGTGGATCAGTTTTGATGGGCAACAATGCAGTTTGCAAGACAGTTGACATTGGTACAGTTCATATCTGGTGCCACGATGGGATAATGAGAACTTTATCAGATGTGAGACACATCCCAGACTTAAAGAAAAATCTGATTTCTTTGAGTTCTTTGGATTCTATTGGGTGTTCTTACACTGGTGGAGGTGGAGCTCTTAGAGTTATTAAGGGTTCATTGGTTGTGATGAAAGGTAGTAAGATGAACAGTCTTTATGTTCTCCAAGGTAGTACGGTGACAGGCTCTGCAGGTGTGTCCTCTGATGCTGATAGGGACACTACTCAGTTGTGACACATGCGCTTAGACCATATGAGTGAGAAGGGGATGACTATTTTGAGTAAACGTGGTTTATTCTGTGGTGACCATACATCATCACTGGATTTCTGTGAGCATTGTGTGTTTGGGAAGCAAACTCGGGTCAGCTTCTCGACTGGCTCACATACAACGAAAGGCATTCTCGATTACATCCATTCAGATTTGTGGGGACATGCTCAGGTTCCATCCAAAGATGGTGCTCTTTATTTTCTGACGTTTATTAATGATTTTTTCAGGAAAGTTTGGGTTTACTTTCTCAGGTGCAAAAGCGAGGTGTTCGAAACTTTCAAGAAGTGGAAAATACTCGTTGCAAATCAAACTGAAAAGAAGATTAAACGTCTCCGAACAGATAATGACCTAGAGTTCTGCAGTGATGAGTTTAATCAATTCTGCTCAAATTCTGGGATCGTACGACATCGCACAGTCAGACACACTCCTCAGCAAAACGGGGTGGCAGAACGCATGAATAGAACGTTGACGGAGAGAGCTAGGTGTATGCTCTCAAACTCTGGGTTGGATAAAAACTTCTGGGCTGAAGCTGTTAACACAGCTTGTTACTTGGTGAACCGGTCTCCTTCTACCGTCATTGAACACAAGATTCCAAATGAGGTATGATCAGGTAAACCAAATGACTATTCAAATTTAAAGGTATTTGGATGTCCCTCTTACTATCATGTTAGAGAGGATAAGCTTGAGCCTAGATCTAAGAAATGCATATTTATTGGTTATGCTGATGGCGTTAAAGGCTATCGTTTGTGGAGTCTTGAACCTGATTCTCCTAAATTCATTATTAGTAGAGATGTTACTTTTAATAAAAGATATTTGAACCTGATTCTCCTAAATTCATTATTAGTAGAGATGTTACTTTTAATAAAAGATATATGCTTGATCATGAAAAAGTTTTTGTTGAGTCTACAGGAAAGGTAGAGAAGACCATGGATAAGGTGAACTTTCAGGTGGAGCCCGAGGGAGAGACTTCTCAAAAGTCATCTATAAAAATTGCTCCTACACTTGTAGAAGAGCAACATGATTCAGGCTCAGATGATGATGATGTTGAGACTGAAGAACCTTATAGCCACTGGCAGAGAGAGGAGACAGATCAGACCTCCTCAAAGATATGCACGTGCTGAATTAGTGGCGTATGCTCTCACGATAGCTGAAGAGATGTGTATTCAAGAGCCAGAGTCATCAAACTTTACTGAAGTTGTCTCATGCGGAGAATCTGGACGTTGGGCCACAGCTATGATAGAAGAACTCGAGTCACTTTACAAGAATCAAACTTAGGATTTGGTGTAATTAGCTAAGGGTTAAAGATGCTAGATTCAAAGCACGGTTAGTGGCTAAAGATTATAGACAAAAAGAAGGAGATGTCCCGAGTTCCATACTCTAATGCAGTGGGTAGCATTATGTATGCTATGATTTGCACTCGTCCAGACATTGCTCAGGCAGTCAGTGTAGTGAGAAGATACATGTCTCAACCAGGGAAGGCACACTGGGAAGCAGTGAAGTGGATCCTTCGGTATCTCAGGGGTACCTCAGATTTGGGTTTAGTTTTTGATAGCAGTACTTTGGGAACCTCGGTTGTAGGTTTTGTGAATTCTGACCATGCAGGTGACCTCGATAAAAGAAGATATTTGACTGGTTATCTTTTTACTCTTTTTGGCGCAGCTATTAGTTGGAGATCGACTCTACAGTCGACAGTTGTTTTGTCTACTAAGAGACAGAATACATAGTAGCAGCAGAAGCAATAAAAGAGGTCATTTGGTTGAAAAATCTTGTAAGGGACTTGGACTATAGCAGGAGGCTAGTTCAGTTGTATTTTACGACAATCAGAGCGCAATACATCTAAGCAAAAACTCAGCACTTCATAAGAGGACAAAGCATATTGATGTCAGATATCATTTTGTTCGTGAGGCAACTGCTAAAAGAAACATCACGATGAAAAAGATTGGTACTACAGACAACCTAGCTGACATGTTGACCAAACGGATCACGGCCTTCAAGTTCAAGCACTGCTTGAATTTGGGAGGCATTCGCACTTGTTAGGTGGCCCCGTTTGGGGCATTGTTTGCAAGATGGGTAAAATTCTCTAGTTATTGATGTTTGAGCATTCAATCCAAGGTGAAGATTGTTGACTTTTTGGCTTGAATCCAAAATGGGTGGGACTCATTTCAAATCTCTTCTCTCAATTTTAGATTGTAGAATGACAGCATATCTCGGAGAGATTTTTTTATTTGATTGGGGTCACTCTCACTTGTGGGTCTCCCCAATCAATCATACTCTTATTTTGTTTTCGGTGAGAGTTTTAACAAACATCAGAGAGACAGAGAGATAGATAACTACGAGAGCTCTCAAAAAAAATTTGTACTCGTGTGGAAACTCAGAGAGAAATAAAATTTAGCCCCCTCTTGCCGTGGACGTAGATCAATTTGATCTACTCGTGTGGAAACTCAGAGAGAAATAAAATTTAGCCCCCTCTTGCCGTGGACGTAGATCAATTTGATCGAACCACGTAAATATTGTGTGTTTGTGATTGTCTCTCTATTTTCTGGTTTTATGTTTAGTGTGTTATTTTGGTACATTTGATCAGACCGCTGCGGACCACTGAGGGTTTCTTAACCCAACACTTTGTTGGGGGGATCAGTTGATTCAAGAGATGATGATTAGTTTCTGATGAGAAATATTAATATAGCATTGATAAACAATGAAAGAGCTAATTTTCTAACAAAATGTTAGGTTTAATTACATAATCACACAGTCAAATTTGTATGTCCAAGATTGAAGACGTATTTCTTACCAAAAAATTATAGCATAATTGAATTTAACATACAAATCTAAACATGATTTCTACAAATAAATTAATACGAAAGGAATTGTTGGCCTGTGGGATGCAGTCGGCGTAATCGCTGCTCTTAAAATGCAGAACCTCGTATTTCCGAGGACACCTCGTGAAAACAGCCTCCCGGAAGTGCTGGTGCTCAAGGTTACACAATACTTCGAGTCTTTGCAGGGATGGATGCAGGGCTGCCCACTAAAAAACTGGAAACAGGGAAACTCATATAAACAAAACTTGCAGAAAGTTTAAGGAAACGCCAGAGGATTTTAGCGGGAGATGAAGTGAGAGTTCTGGAAGGGAGGATATTTTCCTTCTCTATTGTACATAACAATATTCGTAAAGAGAAGTATTTGCAACCTTAAATGTCATCAGTTTATTACTAACCATATGTACAGCCAGTGCATGAAAAATGATAAGAAAGAAGAAAACAGAAACTACAAACAGAAAACAGAAACTACAAACACTGCCATCCTTGCAGCATGCGAAGAAGTAATCGCAGTTAGTAATCGTAAAGTATTGTCAATTAACCCTCCAAGTTATAAGCACTAACCATATGTACATAACAGTGCGTAGAGAGGACAACACTAAAATACCATCAATACTACAGCATTGAAAGAAGTGAACTCAAGCAGGAAAACAAAATATTTTGAGCTCAGGGTCAAATATACTTGGAGGCAGATTTTGGTTACTGGATATTAATCTTCCTCAGAGTGTACATCACAGACTGTAACTTCTCCTGAGCTTTCATCCCACTCTGCCTCACTTCTTCAGATGCCTGTTGCAAGCGTTCGAGCCCACGGCCCATACTCACAATCATGGGAACCGAATGAATCGATTTAGCAGCACAATATATCCCATCTTTATACACCATAAACCCAGCACAAGTTGCCATGCTACAAGAAAACATAGCCAGTGGCCCAAATTTCACTGCCCTCCGTCTCATTATTTCATAGAATGAGGTCTGAACTCCTAACAAACCAGTCCTTTCAGCTAAGGCAAATAAACCCGAAAAATTTACAGGGCAAGTCTTAGCACCAACATTAGCAATTCCTGCAGTTCTTTGAAGGTGTTCTATACCAAACTTCACCGAAACAGGAAGTTTGAATGTAGCAAGCTTGACAAGTGCATAGAAAGGAACAACTTTCAATAAAGAAGTTGCCCTTGCACCGAAGGAAATAGGATTCTCTGCTAATGGCTCAGCTTCTGTTCCTTCATCACCAGAAAGATAATGAGTGAAACACTGATCAGTTAAACATGCAACTTCAGGAGGTACAGTTGTAGTCCAATGCCTCCTTAGCCCAGCTAACTTCCCCACATCAACTATAGCCACTAAAGATCCAAACTTTCTGGCTTGACTTTTAAGGGCTTGTGCACAAATAGCATTGCTCATCTCTTCAGAAGAAATCTGAGAGAAATCCAGCTTTGATGTTTTTTGGTTATTTGCAAGGGGACAACGTGATGCTTCATTTAGAGCTACTCTCAAGGCCTCAATTGCAATTCTGAAGTTGTGGACCTCCAACAAAATTTGGGTAGCAATTGGCTCTCCTTTGTTAATACAGGAAAGCATTTCCTGGGCAGAAGTCAGAGCATTTTTTATCGAAGGGATAATATTGAATATTTCATGGAGATCAGCCAGTAAAGCATAGATAGATAGCGCAAAAGGTGGAGCCTTGTAATCACATTTTGGCTGGCTTTCGTCTTGCTTTTCTTTGGACACATAGTTGGGCTGCATTTCTTTCTTAAGCAAAGACTTGATATATGGAATTTTTAACTCTGATATGTAGTATCCAGTTTTAACATTGCTTGGTGATCGTGCAGCAGACCTCTCGTATGGGGATTCAAGTAATATGAATTGTGAACCGATCTCATCTGTAGCTTTCTTGGCAGCAAAGATATGACCATACAGTCCTACCCCAAAGATCTCTCTCAAGACCTGAGATTTAGCAGACGCCTCGTACTGCTCTTTGTTGATCTTATCAACTAGACATTTTTTAAGAACTCCAAAAGAAGAAGTGGGCACATTGATCACTTGATCATCTGGCAAACTCTCATCTTCTTCCTGGATTTCTGTCAGTATTGATGAAGCAACCAAGCATACTACAGCCTCGGGTTGAACTTCTTTGATCAGCTGTTCTGTGTCAAGAGCGGATTGTTTTGAGAGGTTTTGTGCAGCCAGGATATAAACTATAGAATGAGAATCTGGGTCCTGAATAGCAAATATGAAATTCTTGGTGTGTTCAGGAAGTGAAAGCTTATGAACCAACTGGTTTGAGAGTTTCAAATCATCTTTCTTTAGCATTGAGAATGGCCACACATTTTGCAGATGAGAGAACATTGCAGGTGCCATGAGCAAAAGACCATTAGTGAGAAACAATAAGATGTTCAGCTCTGTGAGACTAAATGTGATAAGTTTCCTTTAGCACCTGTAAATAAATCGAAAACAGTTACCAGGTATTGGATTCATAGCGATACTATTATATCAATCTGATTAAAACAGATTGTACAATAGACAAAAATATCACAATTTCTATAATCGGAAAATACAATGCAAACCAGATCCATCCAGCCCATTGTCTATAACCATTTCCGTCAAAATCACAACAAGTGAAGCACAACTCTAAGAGCATCCTGCAGTGGACTCAATTCTGCAACCAGGTACATTGGCATAAAAACCATGGGGCTAGCTCAAACTCTAGCTGAGGTGAAGAAGTTTTCTCCTTCACTTCGCCCAAACTCCAAAGAAATAGAGATGAAGAAGCTCCCTCCATCCCTATGGGGCTAGCTCAAACTCTAGCTGAGGTGAAGAAGTTTTCTCCTTCACTTCGCGCAAACTACATAGAAATAGAGATGAAGAAGCTCCCTCCATCCCTCCTCCAGAGGCTCCACATAAATATAAACTGGGTGTTAATTGCGCACAGACCCCTCATAGTATCGTTGTTTTGAACTTACTACCCCTGTAGTTTCATTGCTGCAGATAGAAGCCCCTGGGTTAAATTTTGTGACTCTTTTACCCTTGGTGAAATTTGGTTGATATTGGCCCGTGATGAAATTAGTCAGTCAATCTCAGGGTAAAAGAGTAAAAAAATTAACCCAGGGGGTCTATCTGCAACTGTGCACGATAAAACTACAAGGGTAGTATGTCTAGAACAGCTATACTGCAAGGGGATATATGTGCAAAAACCAATAACAGATGTCAGTGCAATGTGTTGATCCCATCTACAAATTGTTAGGATCCCAGAAAACAGAAATTGAATAGAAATATTGACACATCATATATACAGTCATGTGTATGTAGCATCCAAGCATGCACATGAAGTGTAATGCCCCGGGCCCGCAAGCCCATTGGCGCGATTTAAACCCTCGTGGTTTGACTCAATCCATTGCCAAAATTGGCTAGCTAATGTTGCACTTGACTCCTTGAACTTACATTATAAATCGTTCAATCACTCAAATCAATATATATCTGATGTGAGACTAAATCTTGGGCTATCACATGAAGCATTCATGCATGTGTACACACAAATGTATACACACATACCCACAAAAATGCACACATACAGACACATGCACTTGTAATATGTAAGAGGATATTGTAAGGGAAAGGGACGTTAAAGGATGTAAATGTTGGCAAAAACTATGTAAGAGATCTGAGTATTATGGTGTAAGACTATATAATTCACTGTTTGAATCATAGAGTAGAAAGCCACTCTTGGCACCGAGCTATTTTTTGGATTAGTAACACAAGTTTATTAGTTCCAGTACTTCATAACAAAAACCCAATTTACTACGAAAAAAATAGAAGAAGAGATCATAACTTATTTACTTGCTGAGGATAAATATAAAGCACTGATAAACAATGAATGAAAGAGATAATTTCTTCCAAAAAGATTGGGTTTAATCATTTAAACAATTTATAGAGTCAAACTTATACATCCAAAATTGCAGATTTATCAATTTCAGATATTATACTAAAAAACAATGAGCCAAAGTTATCTTCTATGAACATCGAGATGTTTGCAACACAAAGACTGACATCTGAATTATTCTGTAACGAGTTTTTTTGTTTTTTAGTTGATTTAATAAGCCCAACAAAGAGGGACATAAAATTGAAGGAAAAATTCAACAGCATAGGTATAAGACCAACAATACATTAGGAATCAGAATGTTGAGCGATTAATAAACAACGTGTGCAAACAATAAGAGTATTATGTTGGTCTTGTGGAAATAAACTAAGAGGTAGGATGAAAATAACTACGCACTCAAAGAAGGGCAGAGTTTGCCCGCATAGAGGGAAAAAAAAGAGAGAGAATCAATTGAGATGGTTT